TTCAAAACAGCTGATTCATTTTTAGAAACAAAACAAGTGCAGGTGACTGTCTTCATAAATGACTCATTAATAGCTTTAATTATTTTGGTAATATTTTGCTTTCAAAGTTTAAATCATTTTCTTGTTTGATTGTAATTTTAATTGATACTTTATAATTATATTTATTTTATATGTTATTTAGTTATACATTTAATTTATATGAGTTATTTATAAATATATATATATATAGACTTCATTTTGTAGTTTATAATGGACTACATATTTTATTAATTTCATATATTTTGTCTGTTTAACTTTGTAAACAGAACTGTAAAAAAAAACTAAAGCCTTATATAAAATGAATAGAAAGTTAAATAGCTAATGTAATATTTATTTTGACCTCAGAATTTTGCCAATGGACATTTTTCAATAAATATAATGAATATTTTACAATTTTCAGGCCTTACTTAATTTTTTATATTCTGAACATTTTGTGTTGATTGTCTTTAAGCATTTTTCCTTTTTTTTCTACGGCAGTATGCCATGTTCCTGGTGCTTGTGTTCTTAGCTGAACTGGTGGCAGGTATATCCGGATTCATTTTCAGACATGAGGTAATTCAATTCATTTAAACTTCTACATATTGTTTTTCACTCGTCATCCGCTGTCTCCAGCCAAATAAAGTTTGTTCTGTTTATTTAGATTAAAGCAGTGCTTAAGGGTGCCTACCAAAAAGCTGAATCAAACTACATGGGTAAAGATGACGAAGATCTGGACCGGATCCAGAGAACAGTAAGCATGATTTTGTTTTACACCAAACTTTTCACTCATATGCTTAAAATGTTATTTTGCGGATTGTACTTTATTTATTTTGTACAAGACTTACACACGCATTTATATTGAAAGAGGAAGAAAACCCCATTTGTGACTTGTGTAAGCTTATTTTGACAATACAAAGTATTTTAATACAGTGTATCATTTTAAATGATATTAAAGAACATTTTTATTCAGGAAAAAGACAATGTTTAAAAAAGTAATTTTAGAATATTTCTCATTGATCAAATTGAAACAACTTGTATGACTTTTTATCAGTGTTGTTTTTTTTATGTATTTTTTTTGTACAAAGAATGACTAAGAAACATTCCTGATTGTAAGTTCTATATTGAATACAAGTGTTGCATATATTTACTACAAGAGTTGCCATGAATATAGGCAATGCTGCTGATATAGCAATAAACCATAAATAAATTCTAAATAAATATTTATCTAATACTTTCTAGCTGCAATGTTGTGGAGAGGAGAACTACACAAGCTGGGCGAATACAACATACTTTGAAAAAGAGGGCATCCCCAAAAGCTGCTGTAACGTGACTGCTAGTGTAAACTGCACTTCTGCAGAACTCAAGGATCTCAAAAAAGCTGATTCTGTGGTTTATCATCAGGTAAGAACTGCAGTTTCTGAACACTCACAAATCAACAGAGCCATAAGGCTCATTTACAATTGTGGAAAACAAATTTCTCCTCTTATAGGGCTGTTTCTCTCTGATGTCCACAACCATGGAGGCCAATCTTGGAATTATTGCTGGAATTTCTTTTGGAATTGCATTCTTCCAGGTATTTTTCATGCATTGTTAAGAAATGCGGTGTAATTCAACAAAAATGTTCTCAGCCTTAAGGTTAATAGCTTCATATAATTGTTATATGTACAATGGGGGAAATAAGGATTAAACACACCACCATTTTTCTCAGAAAACATAAGTCCAATAGTGCCATTAACTTAAAATGTTCACCAGATGTTGGTAACAATCAAATAAATCCATATAAGCCAATAGAACAACACTAATTAGTTTACAAATGAAGATGTGTAATAATAATAATATTAATACTTTTTATTTATATAGTGCTTTTCCAGAGCTCAAGGACACTTTACAAACTTGTAATAAAATGAAATGACGCAGGAAAAAAGTATTGTACACCTGAAGAAAGGGAGGTGTGGAAACCCAGACAGGAATTCTTCAGCAACCCTCTGCCCTTCACCAATGTAAATTAAAATGAGCTACTTCTGTCCAACATCTACATTAGCAGGATGATGAAGATGAAACCAGGGTGGACATTTCAGCAAGACAATGACTCAAAACACAGCCAAGGAAACTCCCAAATGTTTTCAGAGAAACAAAATAAAGCTGTAGAATGGCCCAGCCAATCACCTGACCCGAATCCAATACAAAGTAAAGCTCAGATTTGATAGACAAGACTCACAGAACCATCTAGTCTGTGAAAAACACACCTGAGCAATGCATGTGACTTCATTCTCTATATGAGAGGTGTCTTTAAGCTGCCATCACCAAAAACGCCTTTTATATAAAGTATTAAATACATTTCAGTAGTTCAGTACTTTCTCCTTTTGTCATTTCAAAGCATTACACATAACAATTTTTCCAGACTTATTTGGTTTTGTTATATTTTTATGTTTGTATTGTCTGGGTTTTTACCAAAGATTTGGTTCAATTCCATGTCAACAACTCTATTAGAAATAATAATGAGAAAAATAGAAAAAAACATGACTCTTTTATATGACTTTAATAAAATTTAATAAAAAAAAAAATAAGGTAGGCCCACACGGAATCTGCGTGCACAGAAATCCGCACATTTTTATCCCATTATTGAGTCTATATATTAGCTTGTTTAAATGTAAATTTATATTAATTCAGTTTTTAAATTAATTTCAGTCATATTATTAAACTGAACTATTCAAAACCCGCTGAAATCCAAAAACAACCGCCCGTAAATCAGGAGGCTATCTTAAGTGGTTCTGAAGTGGAGGACAAGGGGGGGGTGGGGAGTTTGGGGCCTCAGGGCACACCGTTTCAAAACCGCCCAAATTTTCTCTACAAGCCTATGTCCTTTTTTACCCACAAAATCAAATGAAAAACTACTCAATTGGCGTGAAAATAAGTGGATCTAGATGGATTTGCATTGTAAACATTAATAGTTAAAAAGCATTTATTTTTATGTCATAAATTTAAGTTTTTAGTTAGGGCTAGGGATGCTACCAAAATAATACTGCATAAATATGCAGATTATTTACAAAATTCTTCTCAGAAATAGTAAAAAAGTTCACAGATTCTTTCTGGCCCTAGTTATATAGTCATTCATATTTTTTATTGTGCTTTGTTTGATCCATTTATAAAATCATAGTTTGTTTGTTCACTAAAGAAGTTGAACAAAGAGCATGTGGTTAAAAGTTTGCACACTCTTAGCCTGTATATTGATTGCATGTTATTAATCATTCAACCCCTCCTCAGGTCATTGGGATATTCTTGGCGTGCTGCCTGTCTCGCTATATCACCAACAACCAATATGAAATGGTGTAGTGATTCTCCACCACGGGTATATTTTCTTTCCTTTTCCCTTCTTTTTTGTATTATTTAAGTGTAAAATGCATTGCTATGGGCTCTTACTGTCACTTCTCTTCAATTACAGAGTGTCATCTGAAGATCACAGAGGGCTGAACCTGACACAAAGGGAAACCATTTAGTTTCAGTGTTGTTGTCGTCGTCTTTTGTGTGTGTGTGCCTTAGCTGAACATTTCATTTTAGAGAATTTCTGACTGCTTTTTAAAGAGTATTTCTTCATGGTAAATACATTGAAGGGAATTGATTTATTCTGAAGGGATGAAATCATTTTGCTTTTGTTTTTTCTGGAGTGTAAATGAAACAACAATTAGATGCACAGAAGTTTGTAGTAAGTGCATAAGCTTTAGCCAATGTTAAACACTCAGTTATGCAGTAAACATCACACTGTATACCTAGACTTCTGTTTAACGGGGATTAACACATGCCAAAACTTTGAATCTACGCTCTGAATGTTTGTTTTCTTGCGTCAAGCCACCTTAAAGTTCACAATTTGCCAAATAGTTTTTCAGAGTGACTTGCTGTTCATTTTATCCACTCAGCTTGTGACATATCTGTTTGCATCATCACCGGTTCATTTTCAAGAGCTAGTTTTAATACATCCCCTCCATTCCTGCTTCTGTGATTATGATTTGCAGTTTCTGTGTGGTGTTTATTAATGTAGCAGTGATAGTGTTAATTATAAGGCTTTAGACATGCTCAACACAAATTTCTGTAGTTTGTCTTTGTCTGTGAAATGTGAAATAAGTTGTTGCCCAGGCTGATCAGGTTACAATAATTAACATGTACAAACAAAGCTATCGCCATTATACATGCTGAGGTTGAAAAGTATTTAAAGACATCCTTGCGTTTGTGAGGAAAATCAGGCAATGTGTGTGTGTAATCCAGATTATGTTTGAGACTATTATTCTTTTACGCTTTTGTCACTCCAGCATATTCATGCTCATTCATTTTTATTGTGAGACCTTTTGTCAGCATATGGATGAACTGTTTGGGCATGTACATGTTTATGTTTTTGTGAAGACAGCATTGTCAGCATCCTGTTCTTTGTTTGTGTGCAACTGTAAAATGCATAGGAATAATAAACTGTTTTATATGAGCATATGATTCAGATGTGGAACCACCAGATGGCGATGTTGATTTATTTATAAATCGGCAATCCGAAAGCCTGGCTAACAACTGGCCTATATAAAGAAATGACCGTCTGCTGTAATTGAACAGAATTTTTTATATGAATTTGACCTATTAATAATCTAGTCGTTTCATTGACAAACGAAGCACGAATTACCATACTAGGAATGATTAGTTGGGAATATTTTAAGGTTATTCCTCTATTTTCTTTAGCCATCACGAGTAAGCGTGCATTTTTAGGAGTAAGAGACTATTTTAAGACACAAAGTAAAAGTTGGGGAAGATTGCATCGTTTACTCGCCGCCTTCTGAAGACATTGTATAATAGAAAAGATACCGGCAGGCATGAACGCGGACAACATGCTTGTTTTCTATTGGTTTAATGGCCTGTCAATCACGTAGAGCGCTGAATATCATTGGACATGATGACCCGCCCTATGACGTAAACCGTATAAATTTTGTCGGTCTCCGCCTGAACGAACAGAAGAAGGGATCTTTCTTCTCTGCTGAGTCTACAGAAGCTTTGGCAACTTGTTCAAGCATTTGTAGTTTGATTTTGGGCCATTGGACACTTTAATCCAGGTTAGTCCTTTTAGTCTAAGCATTTATAGGTTAACAGATTTTTTTTTCCTTGGCATCTCAAGGTTACGTAACGCCTGTCTCTTGTGCATTGCAAGGTCTTTTCCTGCACACTTTTCGATGTTATATTGGTTAACTATCGGGCTTTTGTTGTGCATATTTAGACGTCGTTTTATATGATTTGTTTTCTGGTGTTTGTAAAAACACAGATGTTTCGACACGAGGATGTGAAGTGTCATCTTTGACGATTTGTGAACGAGTCGTTTATTTCTTCGTTGGCTCTTCACAGTGGTTCACATAAACCATTTCAAATCTGGCTCTATGAAACTCCGCGTCTGAACTAATTGAATCGGTGAAATCTAACGTTACGCAGTGAAGTAGATTTTAAACTTGTAACATACGTTACCGTTAGTCTGCTAACGTAAATGACAATGCAGTCGCTTTTCAACTGAAATGTAATCCCTTTTTAAGCTCCAATTAGCACAAGTTAACATGGCTGCTTGTGAACTGTAAAGTTAACCCTAAACCGTTTAAAAGTGGTGAATCGTTTTAAACGTGTAACGTTAGTGTGCCGTACTAGGTTGTCGAGCAAGTCATACCACAACTTTTTCTTGGGAGTTAAATAATTGCACACTCGATTCCATGAACATTGATTTTCAGGGTTTTAACGCCTTTTTGATTAATTGAATATTGATTCATCTTACCCTTGCGCCTGACGCAGATTTGTAACCATAGCTTGTAAATGAATCGTTGTTTCATTCGGCTCTTTACACAGCGATTCAATTGAACCGATTCATAGACCTTGGTCGCTTTGAATTTGAATGATTCTCAGATGAAGTCCTCGAACCAGTCTTATGGAGATGGTTTGAATAAGTGTCTTGTAACCACCACTTGTGGCGGGACAAATTCTCTTTTGAATCTACATTTTAATACCAATTTTGTTGGTTTGAGCTGTTCTTGACTGCAAAAACGAAACCAGAGCCAAACGCACATCCTCAAAACGATCGAGGTGAAGTTAGTTTTATAATCCCCATGTTTTTACAATAGTATTTTAAATATTCCCTCTAAAATCGCATGCAAGTATGACTTCAAAACAACATTAGCACTATTTATTTGACTGAACAGTGTTGTACTTTTTATAGTCAAAGGCTGTTAATGATTTCACTATTTTACTTTTCGCACGGAGTATTTTTCCGACGCAAATGTGTAATGTATAAAACCAGCTTTACCTCAATCTTAATGTGCCATCAGATGGCTGTATTGCAAGGTTTTAGCTCATGAATGTGAGCCATGTCCAGGAACCAAGTGATGCCACAACTTCCTTTTGATTTTAGTAGTTGCTGCCTCTCAGTTGTGAAACTAATCCAAACTGATTGTTTTTGCTTCAATTGCAGCTTTGCCATGATGCAGCTCAGCAACGACAGCCACTGCAACAAGCACTCGCTGCTCAATGTCATGAACCGGTTCATCGCCGCAGCCAACAACATGGACGAAACCATCATGGTGCCAAACCTTCTGCGAGACGTCCCTCTGGAAGAGCAGGAGAGCCACGCTTCTGTTAGCCACAACAACAACAACAACGAGCCCTCTTTCCCAAACAAACAGCGGGACATGTACGAGCACTACCTGCTCCTCAAGTCCATCAAGAACGACATGGAGTGGGGTCTTTTGAAGCGGGAGATGGCTGGTGGTGCCAGCTTTCTAGAAATGGCCGTAAAGCAGGAAGAGCTGCCGCAGATGAAAGGAGAAGCTGTCGAGGAGGGCCCAGATCTGGAGGGCCAGTTCCACTATCACCTCCACGGACTCTTTTCTGTCTTGTCCAAACTAACAGTTCAGGCTGACCACCTCACGAATCGGTACAAGAGAGAAATCGGCGGGGGAAGCTTATTGCGATAGGATTGACTCATTTAGCGCTAATATAGACTGTTCGTGAATTGTTGGACTGGGAAAGTGCAAGGACCTAAAGGTCTCGAGATTCCCCTCCTGCCATCAAAAGGGTTTCTTGGCCAAAACTGGTTGTCCTGTGGCTGGCATTGGCAGTTTTCGGTGCTTTCTGGACCTTTTCCACAAGAAGGGCTATGAGGGTTTTATTTTAACTGACCATCAAGTGTGCATCTATTCCAGTTAGGCTGTAGTTTTTGGGTTGTGCTTTTAAAATCTCTCTATGCCATGTCAGGAAGTCCACTGTCATTTGACGCTGTAGAAGAACGTGAATGCTGGTAATTCGGTTCTTCATGTTAGTCAGCCGATGCCTTTTTAATGAGGGGATTTTTACACACTGATGCTGCTCGTGTGCACTTGTCCATGTGAAAATGGCGTGCCTTCAGTTTTCATTTCCCACTCTTGTTGTTCAGATGTGTGCTTGTCATGCACTGTATGAATTTTTTGATTGGGGCCCACATGACTTTTGTATAGTCTCCCATTTTCCTTTTTGATTTGTCCTTAAACAACAAAAAAGACTTCAATTTTTATATTGTGCTGTAATGTAATATAGTGACTTATTAAATAAAGCATTAACTTAAACTGCTTCTGTTTCCTCTTCTCCTTCGATGTGCAATAAGATGCCAGCATTTAACAGAGGCCTGGGTCAAATATCTAATCCTGAATGGTGTTAGCGAGTATCTGCTAATCTGGTTTCGTAAGCGCTGCATCACTTTGCGTGCGTGTGGAATGCGTGTTTTTATAAAGGCAGGTTAGAACATGAATTTACAAAGGTGTTCTCATGTCTGTGGTCTTCTAAAGGAAGCCTCTTCCTGTTGGTGTCATTTTAATAAAATTGTTGACGTCACAAGATGCAACCAGACTTAACCTGGGAGGATTTTAGTTGATTTTACTATATGTAATCATCCTATTCCCAATATAGCTCAACTGTCATAAACATTGAAGCAAATCTTTGTTGTGACCATAATTTCAGTTGCAGTTTTCTCACTTCTTCATTTTTAAGAGTGCTCTAAGCCACCATGTATGTGTTTTGCCCAGTAAACAGTTCGGTTTTTAGGGAAGTGCATCTGCAAATAATGTCATAAAAGCAGGGATGTTTTGTGTAAAAATAATATATAGATGGTGGTTAAATTAAACCAAACAAAGTGTGTGTGTGTGTGTGTGTGTGTGTATGTGTGTATGTGTGTGTATATATATATGTATATATATATATATATGTATATATATATGTATATATATATATATATGTATATATATATGTATATATATATATATATATGTATATATATATGTATATATTAGGCTAGTTGGGACGATTCATTGCCTGAAGACTTGCAATCTCGATGGGAACGTTGGCTTTTAGATCTGCCAAATTTAGCTGATGTGAAGATCCCACGATGTTATGTTCCACAGATAAGTAACGAAGCCATTCGTTTTGAACTCCATCATTTCTCTGATGCTAGCATCTCAGGATATGGGGAATGCTCCTATCTTCGAACAGTCAGTGCATCAGGTGAAGTTCATTGCTCTTTCGTCATGGGAAAGTCACGAGTTGCACCAACAAAAATAACTACTATTCCGAGATTAGAACTTTCAGCTGCAGTGGTCGCTGTACGGGTCAGTGATATGCTGAAGAAAGAATTGGACATTAAGGATTTACAGGAATGTTTCTGGATTGATTCTAAGGTAGTTCTGGGATACATCAACAATGATGCTAGGAGATTCCAAGTTTTTGTAGCTAATCGTGTTCAACGTATCAAGTTGAGTACTGAATCGAATCAATGGAAATATGTAGGCACTGAAGACAATCCTGCAGATTCTGCTTCTAGAGGTTTGATGGTTGAACAACTAGTGGCGTCGAGTTGGCTCAAGGGACCAAAATTCTTGTGGCAGAAAGATCTTCCCAGTGAAGAAGTTAAGGTGGGAGATGTGATCACAAGTAATGATCCAGAGCTTCGAAAGGTTCAAGTTTTCAATATCCAAGCAAATAAAGAAAAATCATTGTTAGAACGTCTTCTCAAATTCTCGGACTGGGCAAGGATGGTGAAGGCCATTGCCAGACTTAAACGGTATGTAAGAGAAGCTAAAGGTTTTGAATCCAAAGCTTTTGAACCTACTACTTTGGAGCAAAGGAAAGATGCTGAGCTCTTTATCATTCGGTTAGTTCAAGAAGCAACCTTTTCCCATGAAATGACGAGTCTCAAGAAACAACTAGCATTTACATCTGATGCTCAAACCAAAAGCCAATTGTACAAGTTAAGTCCTTTCCTGGATAATCAAGGCATACTGCGAGTTGGAGGTCGCTTGGCAAATGCAACTCTTCATTTAGACGTAAAATATCCTGCCACTTTGTGTATCAAGGAGAGCATATACTAGAACCTCTTTCTCTGGTTCAGATGTTGTAGACACCCATACAGGTATAATAGAAGAAGTGCAGGTATTATTAATTTCTTGCATTACCTGGTTCGAAGTTGCCTCATTTAGAACTCTTGTGTGTCTATGCTGATAAGGATCTGTACTCTTCTTAAAGCTTTCAGTCACCCCATGATTTCCAACACTCCAACATTTCCAATGACTACCTTCTGTATTGGACGCTCAAGGTAACTTGGTTTAGACAATCGCTTACCCTTTCCATCAAGCGAAGAGTCACTCATTAACAACTTGACTTGTCTCACTTTGCCATCCTTTCCTTGGTACACGTCTACCACCTTTGCCAATTTCCACTTGTTACGTGGTAAAACATCATCTTTAAGGATAACTATGTCATTCACTTTAACATTCCTGCGATTCTTATTCCATTTCTGTCTTTGCTGAAGATTTAAAAGATACTCCTTTCTCCAGCGCGACCAGAAGTTGTTGACTAAATACTGCACTTTGCGCCATCGTTTACGGAGATAAAGATCTTCTTTGACAAACTCTCCAGGTGGTGGTTCCACAATCATAGACTTCATTGTCAAGATGTGATTTGGGGTAAGAGGTTCTGGACCTAGAGGGTCATTCAAATGCTCAACAGTCAAAGGCCTGCTATTCACAATAGCCATAACCTCATACAACAGAGTTCGCAGGGAAGTACTGTCAAGTGCCCCAGGACATTGGTCAAGAACAGAAGTCAAAACATTTCTTACGGTACGGATCTGTCTTTCCCAGACACCTCCCATATGACTTGCTGATGGAATGTTCATGATCAACTCGCAGCCAAGTTTCTTTATCTGCCCTTGATCCATTGTTTTCAATGTGCTCATAAATTCTCTGCTTGCCCCCACAAAGTTCGTACCCTGATCACATCGAATTTGGCGAACTGTTCCACGAATGGCTATAAAGGAGCGGAGAGCATTAATAAATGCATCAGTAGACAGAGCATCAAGCATTTCAATGTGTATGGCTCTGGAACACATACAAGTCAACAATAACCCATAGCGTTTGAGTTGCCTTCTACCATCGGTAACATAAAAAGGTCCAAAACAATCCATTCCACACAATAGAAAAGGTGGAGTTGGCTGCACACGATCTTCAGGAAGATCAGCCATTTTCTGTTCTTCTACACACCTTCTAAATTTCCTACATTTCAGGCATTTGTATATGTGAGAAGAAACAGCACTACTGCATCCAAGAATCCATATACCATTGGACCGAAGTTCATTCACGGTCATTCCTCGCCCTTGATGTTGTACTCGTTCGTGATAATGTTTGATTAGTAATGCTGAGAAATGATTTTTCTTTATTTGCTTGGATATATATATATATATGTGTGTGTGAATACACTGTAGTGGAAAACAGGGCCATTTTACTTAAAGTCCGCCATTCAGACAACAAAACTCTACAGGATATGGCTGTAAAGGGATATTTATCCAATATTAATGTAACAAAAACAAAACAAAAGCCATTTTTTTCTTTGATATTGAAATTCCTGAAACAGTTTAGGCTGAAAGAGAGCCGAACTCAAAAAACAAAAAAAGAATTTAAAAAAAGAAGTGATGTTAATCCAAAACAAATTTAACATAAAAGCAATTTAAAACTAATTGTCATTCTCTAATTGTCTCTAATTCTCTAATTGTCAGACTCTAAATACGAGTCTCCCTCATTTATCTTATTAAGAATCCTCTCTGCATTAGCTCTGCCTTCTACAACATGCGGTCATTAATTACATTAAGATGGTCCTGGTGTCCACTATAGTGGACATTTAAAAAAGGATGATATTTTAAAACACAAACAAGTTAACAGCTTTGAAAGCTACATGTATTGTTCCTGACACTTTGATAAACAAATATACATGTAATAATAACAGTAAAAAAAAAACATATAAAAAGATAAATTTTACATGCCTCTCTCCTTCCCATAAAATGTGCTTGTTTGTAGGCCGGCCATTTTGAATGCAGTGTAAGAAGTGGTTCCTAGCATGCCAGCCAATCAAATGACATATCACCAGAAAGCCCAGGATGTCCTCTGAAAAGTACAACAAGACTTGACACAGCAGCTCAAACAATTCTAAGAAAATTCTAAGAGGACACAAGTCAATAGTCAATAGGCAGGGTCTCAGGAGGATATATATATATATATATATATATATATATATATATATATATATATATATATATATATATATATATATATATATATATATACACAGTGCTCAGCATAATTGAGTACAGCCCATTTTGAAAAAGAATATTGTTATCCATTTCTCAGTGAATGTAGGCATGGCATTTTGGTGCATTTGAACAAAACAGATCTAATAAACTTATATTTATTAAAATCATATTTTGGTCACCAAACATTCCCTCATTTTCTTTTCAGCTTAATCTCTTTATTAATCCGGGGTCGACAATTTAGCTTACCCAATTCACCTGTACCACATGTCTTTGAAAGTGGGAAAGTGGAGCACTCGGAGAAAACCCATGCAAACGCAGGGAGAACATGCAAACTCCACATAGAAACGCCAACTCATTCATTCATTTTCTTGTCGGCTTAGTCCCTTTATTAATCCGGGGTCGCCACAGCGGAATGAAGCGGCAACTTATCCAGCAAGTTTTTACAGAGCGGATACCCTTCCAGCTGCAACCCATCACTGGGAAACATCCACACACACACACTCATACACTACGGACAATTTAGCTTACACAATTCACCTGTACAGCATGTCTTTGGACTGTGGGGGAAACCGGAGCACCCGGAGAAAACCCACACGAAGGCAGGGAGAACATGCAAACTCCACACAGACACACCAACTGAGCCGAGGTTCAAACCAGCGACCTTCTTGCTGTGAGGCGACAGCACTACCAACTGCGCCACTGCGTCGCCCTAGAAACACCAACTGATAAAACAATTAAATTTAAGCAAAATATTGCAAAAAAACTACAAAATTTGAACAAATTTATTTTTGCTTCTCTTGATTTTCCACTTTTTAAAATTTGTTTAATATTTTTCTATAACATAAATTTGGTTGTACTAGTTTTTGGACCACTGTCGTAAGTATATTGTTACATAAACTCCGGATTTGGCTTCTGTACTGACTAATCTAACGTAAATGCAAAAGTATAGTATTGTATAGCTTCCTAATAAACATGAATTTAAAATATAGATTTATG